AGTTTTAGAAGTAAATGGTAAGAAAGTCCGAGGCAGGCAGTACCCTTGGGGTATCGTAGAAGGTAGGCATTTTTTTTTTCATTTCAATTATTCATGTTGCTATTATTGATTGTGTTACAATGTTTTGAACTTTTGAAAATTATTTCTAAAGCATGAAGTCAAGGGGGTGTTTGTAATGAGTATGTCAAGCTTTAGTCTCTGTGTAGTAAAAGGCTGCCCCCTAGAGTTCAGAATGAGTAAAATTTCAGGTTGATGATATGGGGTATTTATTTTTACAACTAATGCTGTATGTGAATAATTTCTTGATGTTTCTAGTTGAAAATTTGGAACACAGTGATTTTGTCACTCTCCGGAATCTTTTGCTGCGAACACATATGCAAGATTTGAAAGATGTAACGAATAATGTACACTATGAAAACTTCAGGTGTCGGAAATTAACACAAGTCACGTCAGGAGATCAAAAACCATCTCGAGCGGCCAAGTAAGTAACAAGTTTTTCTTTCTACATGATTAAATAGGACTTAGTATCTTGTTTCAAAATGAAACGCAAATAATTAAGAACATTGCAATGCAAATTATTTTTTCAAAAACTGTAAAATCTATATTAGAAGATGCGGTTTCTATTAAAATGATACAATGCAACAGAGGGGATGCGGCTTCTATTAGAGCATCTACAAATATGAGAAATGTTGAATTTTTGATCCCCAGTTGTTAAAAAAGAATGGGTGCGACTTCTATTAGGGATGTGGCTTCTAATACAGATTTTCCAGTAATTTTTTTCAGTATACACATATTTTAATCAGAGTTATTTGCTGTAAACCATTTCTGTTATAAGAGTATCAAATTTGTACTGTGCTAACTTTCAAATTATTATTTGCGAGTAGACTGAAAACAGGACTAATTTCAGGTGGGTTATACAAGATGACAATAGAATGTGGGAAGGGAGTCAAGCAAAAGATGTTAGGCAGTGGCTGATTTGTGGATATACAAGAGTTTTAACATGTGTCCTTTCACCACAGAGCATCATCAAAGAACCCTATGTCTCAGTTTGAAGAAGAAAAGAGGGAACATCAGACTAAGATGAAAAAGATGGAAGCTGAGATGGAACAAGTGTTTGAAATGAAAGTCAAAGAAAAGAGAAAGAAATTAAAAGATTCAGAAGTAGATGTAAGTTGTTGATCTTGTTGAGTTTGTTCATTTGTTGAAATGATTTTAGGATTTCAGCTAATTTGAATAATCCATCATGTCGTGAGAACTATTTGATGTTCATAACAAGGATCTTTGTTCCAATTGCATGCTTTTGCAAACTCAACGTGTAAACATGACCCTCGTGCATGATTCTACTATGATGTCGCGTATTTGACCTGTAAAAATACATAGATCTGATTGGCAGGAACTCTAAAACATGCACCCAATCAGAGTTGTCGTAATCATTGTATAATTTGTAGAAATCCTCTCGCTAACCCATGTAAACATCATAACAACTTTTGATTTTGAACTGTTCATGTGAAATCTTATCCAACTGAGTCCTGGAATTGAATTTAAAAGTCTTTTAAAATCCATAATCATGAGTGATTACAACAATAAAAAAATTCTTGATTTGGTGATATTAAACTGCGACCTTCAGTGTGATATAGAAACCGATTTAGATTTGTATCATTTCTCATGATGTTCTCAATAATCCGTGGGAGGTGATTTGCAAAGTGGGAATGCAACTTTAGATGCATGTTCACAGAGTAAACCCTGCAAAAATATTGAGGTGAGAAGATGGCTTAGTAAGGATATACTTGCTGTTTGTGCTAAAAACACAGTTCTAATTCAATAATTTTGGTTATTTACGGACCTTGTATAAATTGAATCCTGCTTCACTTAAAACCTCTATCTTTTACTATTGTTAAATCATATCTTTTTTACTTTTAGTTACAAACTCGGTATGAACAAATGAAAATCAGTTTAAACCGACAGCAAAAGGAATTAGAAGAAAAAACTCGTCAATTTGAAAAAGAAAAAGAAGCTTTTAGGCAAAAAGAAGATGAATTGAAAAGGAGGCAATTGGACAATGCCAAGTAAGTGCTTTGACATAACACTGAATAAAAATCAGTGAAATGCCTTCATGTGGTGTTACGATGACCTCAAAGTGTAATTTTAGATTTATGTTGGTAATTACTTCCATATTGATATATTGTGCATATAATGCTAATTTAGGCTGTGAAATTGCACCTACAAGTTTTTTGCTCCGCTGCCGACTTTGTCGAGCGGAGCTTATCATATGAGTGATTGTCTGTTGTCGTTGTACGTGTAAATGTTTTACTTTTTCGACTTCTTCTTGAAAACTACGAGCCTGAATGCTTTGATACTTAGTGTATATGTACCTTGGGTAGATCTCTCTTAGATTTGTTCATTTCATGATGACATCTTCAATTCTCTAATTTTGGTGAATATTTTTGTCATTTTTGGTAAAAAGTGATATTTTCAACTGCTTGTTAAAAACCGCAAGTCTGATTGCTTTGAATACGATACATATTGTTCATTTTCTAATGATATCTTCAGTTCTTTAATTGAAATGTGCATTGCTAACAGCAGACTGACAGGCAGCTTCTTTTCTCCTATTCTTGGAATTCTTTTCCTCGGGTACCGTCAGTACAGTTGTGAGATGTGCATTATTTTCTCTTGTAAAAAACCTTGAAAAATACTGCTGCTAGTTCATGTGGGAAAAATTTTATCAGGGGTGATTTTTTCTTGCTATGAACCAGCCAGTGATACTTGGTACATGTGTGTATAAATACTCTTCCCGTTTTACTTAACAGAACACTAGATATGAACAAAAAAGGCAAAGAAAAGAAGAAAACCTCTCTGTTTTGAGGATCCCAGACGGGGACCATGGTAAACGCAAAGTCTGATCAGCATCAATACCATAACACTGGGAATTCATAAATGAAACGTACTATGTCCAGTTGAATTGACATCTTTTGTCATCCATTTTTTTTTTATTATCAGAACTACTGTAGAGATAACAATACACTGGGTAGAAGGTCCCAATGCATGTTGTAGCATGACAAAAAAAATGTGATGTGCTCTCACCTAATGATATGGTTACACAAGTGACAACATGCTCTGATAGTGTGTGGGCAGTCAAAGACGACTCAGTCAGACACAGCAGATGAAACTTTGCATTAAATGATAACAATTTAGTTTGAGTATTTTTCTCACTCGCAAGCATATTGTTATTATTTTTTTCAGTGATATTCTGTGCTGCACTGTTTGCATTGAACATTTTCACAGGGGGGGTTTTAAACTTGAACTCTGAAATAGCTTTACTGGCGTTTTCGAACATCCAGGACATAACTCAACAGGGAGACTTGATTATAATTTCATCCTTTGAAAACATAAACTTGTGACAATATGTAGAGACGAAAATGTATTTTTTATAGAGTAGAAAATTGCAAAAATACTAAAGAAATTGCAGCTGCTGTCGCTTCAGTTCGAGAACTGTGTTAATTATTCATGTATGCGAGCTGCATTGATTATTATCAGAATAATTCAGATATTGTAACTGAGTTAATTCTCAGGGAAGGGAAGGGGTACTCACAGACAATGTGTTCTTATGATATACTATTCTCACTAGCAAACTTCAAACGCGTCTTCAACATCTAAATTATCTGGTTAATTGTTCAACTGTTAAATTAATAATGCACCAACCTCAAAATTTGTTGGGATGACCATCAAATAAAGCACCACAGGTATAGCGTCGTGTCAAATTTGATGTGGGTCCCATGAGACGCAAACACCTTGATGAAATTTGAATACTGTACCACTACTGTGGTACTTTAATTGTTGGTCATATTCTTAATGGTCCAAATAATTATTTGAGTTTGTTGCTCGACTCAAACTTACATTTTGTTTATTGAATCTATTCAGCAAGCTGCTGTATTTAATTCCAATTTAGCCATCGATATAGAGACTTTATTACTTTCTTTCTCTGTGTGTTGGGAGTCTTAGATCCTGAATTGGTGTCTGAACTCAGCTATCAATACTCGCTTAAAATATTATTCCTTCCCTTTGATGTTTTATTTTGTGTGAAAGTGAGAGAGTGCTTGTCGCATTTAGGAATAGCATTTTACTGCGAATTATAATCGATTATCTTCCATATATAGAATCAAAGAAATTGAATACTTAGTTTAGAATTGCTTCCAATTTGATGTATCTCCATGTAGATTTAATCTTTATAACTCGTAGGCACTTCATAACACTAGTATATTCTGATTCTGTGGCATTACTATTGATACATCTTGCTGTTTCCACTTTGTTTTTGGTTCTTTACTGGTACTACGCTGCTGTACAATCAACGTTTGAGTACTTGTGAATCCTTCCTATTGTAGTTAGTAAACCATAATGATTTGTCAGTTATTTGTATTATTTAAGTTAATGTGTAAGATTGTATCCCCTATTTTGAATACAAGATTCCCTTGACTTAACTTGGGTAAGTATGATTCTATTAATTATTCAATTCTTCAACATACCCCCCCGGTATTAGTACTGGTATAAGTTGAATACTTGCTTCTACAGCTGACGTTCACTCTTTGTTGTAGCCAAACACTATTTTTTTTTTTATTTATAACCAATTATGGACTAATCTCACATTACAGTTTATCAGAGTTGAGTATGTTTTGTAAATTTCATATAACCATGTCAGTTTTTTCAATTTGATTCTTCTTAAACTGAAATTAGGTAAATTCCTTAATGCACTGGTTGTATGCATAAGTTTCCCTGTATACTAGTTAAGTGTCTTTTTTTTTAAATCTAAAAACATAGAAAGTGTTTTTTGTTGTCATGCTTTAAATCACTTTCTCTCTAATGTTTTTGTCTAAATGTCCCCTCTAAAGGATTAGTTAGTCTTTTTAGACATTGTATTATTAGTTAAGTCCAGGTAATACTACCCCCTGTTAGGAATTTATTAGTGGTTAAATGCAATTTGTAAGGTCATAGTGCAGTTTTCCTCAGATTGAAATCCGTCATCACTATTTGTGTTATTTGCGACATTTAGACTCCTTCCACGTTTAAAAGTGTTAAGAAATTTAAGCCTAATTTACATTATACTTATACTATTTGTGAAAACTGAATTACTGTACTTCTAATGGAATGATAGTACTTTACTGAGCTTATTCATAGCAGCTTGAATGCTGAATAGAAACAAGAATGTTTCACTCATTCTAAATTTGTAGTAATAGAATGGATCTTTTTTGTATTGTTCAAGAGAAAATGTTTGCAATTTATTCCATAGCCCTGTAAATTATGACTGCCATTTATCTTTCAATTTTTTATTGTAGTGTTTTGACCCAGTTTCTGAGTTCATTCTCAGGCAGCCTGTGAGGGCACCATGTCAATAAGTGACATCATTGGTATCCATATTTGGTGCATGTATCTTGCAAAGATAATTCACCAGTTATTAATCACCTGTGTACTTTTTTTCACCACTTGATTAATTTCGCAAGAGGGTGTCATTAATATAAGGCAGGATTGTATTGCAGTAATTATTTTTTTTGGAGGGGGGTGTTATTTTTATTGATTAACAAATATTTTAAGTTTTTTCAAATCTCTTGTACAGTTTTTTTTTTTGTATTGCGTGTATTTTTATGTTATTTTCAGATAGAAAAAACATAACTCCCGACACTTAAAACAGGCATTTGAATGAATAGATTTAATTTTGACTGTCAGTGCTGAGTTGTGTACGTATTACCAAATTTTATAGTAGTTTCCTTTTGTTAGATGAACATGATATCCAGCTGTGTGGGTTGCCATAAATATTCTTTTTTAAATATTGAAAACTAAAAACTCATTGTTGCCATTGGAATTAACATCTGAATAAATGGCAGCACTGAAAAGTTAAATAATGTTGTGTTTTCTGTTCACTCCATTGATGGCATGGCCCATGTGTTTAAAACATTTTTGCTGAACTGTTCAATGGTAATTAATTTACTCTGAAGGGATGTTATAAGGCTGACACCTTATATCACTTATTTGTAGAGCTGGTTGAAGTGAGGTCGTCGGCTACTACTGTAAAATACTTTATTTCCCCCTAATTTCAACGGGGACTATGTCATTAACAATGACTTGTTTTCACTGAATCATCCCATTAGTGAAAATAAAGTATTTTACAGTATTGTTTACACAAGCCGCAAGAGAATGTATCACATGACCAACTTTGAGTGCTACAAAGTAATTTTATCTTCATGCACCTACGCTTACGAATTATATGCTAATTTATGCTACTCGTGCGTTGATGGAAGTGTATTTGCAGGTATGGCCACTGATAGTTAGCAATAACTGACAGAAATAATGGCCTTCTGTCGATGCATTTTTGAAAGTTGTTGCACCATTAGAGTAAATATCCAAGTCTGTTATTGTATTGTTGCTGCGATAAAAACTATACCATATGATTTGTATTTTCTAGCACACGTAAAATGGTATGTAATAAAATACTGCTTATTGATATTGAGTGATATTTCATGCTAATGTCACAACTGTGAATAATATGCATCATCGTCTTGTGATAAACCAGTGTATCATGCCTACGGTGTTCATTAACAAATCAATGAAAATTGTGCTGACCCAGTTTTCAGTGAAAATAAGGTAATGCAAAGTATTTTCTGCAGAAAAAAAGTTTCTGGTCAATTTTGTAACTGAATCGTGCCATTTTAGCATTTACGTACTGATTCACCAGGCCATTGTTGAGTGCAAAGAGAAGAGAAGGGCTGGATTCCAGGCTAAATCAAGTATGGTAAACTATAATGAATAATTTCTTTGTGTTCACTGTAAATCAAAAAAAAATTACTGATGGTAGAAAAATCATTTGTCACCACTGATGGCGCTGTTAGTTCGGTTTGGAGACGTTTGGCTGGAACGCTAATGGCGTTGCTAAAATCGTAAGAGATGCGCAAGAGATGGAAATTGATCTTACCGGTACATGCCTTCATGAGAACAAAAACATAAAATTACTTATTGAACAAAATAATTTGAAGGCAGAAATATCTCAACAGTAATATGTGGTGGTTGTCATCACGGGTTCGTCAACTCATCGGTCAGTGTTCTCGGTTATAAATAATCCGTATCCTATCCTAAGGCGTATTCCGAATTGATTTAATATTTTCACTAGTTCCTTCTTTTTATCACAAATTCACAAAATGGTCCCGTTTATAGTCTGTACTTTCCTTCAGAAAAAATGGCCAAATTGTTTGAATGAAAGCTGACAAATTTTGTTAGCTTAAAAATTCAGGTTAATTTCCAGAAATATTAAAGAATATAAGAAAAAAAAAAGTGCAGAAAAAATTGGGCGAGAAAGTCTCATTGTGAAAAGGTTGAAGGTTTCAAATTGAAAAAAATACTTGTTACCAATAGTATTTTTTAAACAAACAAAATGACAATAAATAAATTATATATACATGTACTGATATCAAAATGAATAGAGGGAAGGGAAAAACACGTCCTGGTTTTATACCTTTTAGATCAATCATATTTGTATATCTACTAATTTCGGTTTGGGAACAATATCTGCTTATAATTTGCTCAATGATGGTTTTTGATTAGGGTGAGTAGACGAAAGAACTGACTGAAATATTAACTTGTAATAACAAGATACTAACCCGTTGTAACTAGGTACTAACAAGTTTAAACCAGATTCTAACTCGTACTTAAAGAGTTACAAACTTTGAGACCCCCCCTAAGCAATCCCATTTGACGCTCGCTCGGGTTACTGTTATTGAGTGGATTAGTCATTAACAAAAATCACTCGAGTAATAACAAGAGTTACTACCAGTGTCCTGTATGTAACAGTGTGCGCCATATACGGTATAATGGGAAGTGTTTGCGTCGTGGATGCTTTAATGCATGAATTCAAAAGTTTTATTTAAGAAATGTTAAATGTTGAACACACACTTTGCACCGGTATATTTTAATTTTAATACAAAAAAATGCGTCACCGAACTGAAAATTCTATTTCTAAGTTTGGCTGGTTCCCGCCTCAAGAATGGCATTTGCAAGGGACGCCGGGAACCAGTTAATTTCTAAGTACGAGTATGCCAGAAGCGCCCTCTAGGACAGACAAAACATCAGCCGCAACATCATCATGATTGAATTTTGCCTGCACTATAGTAACCGTGACCAGTCCCTCTATACCTGTGCCATGATTATACGTAACTTACAAAATGCCTCATTGTGTTGTGTTTTGTTTCCGGTATCAATATGATCAACCTGCGTAAAAGCATGGACATTAGGAATACATTTCTAAGAATTATGTTAAAATTTAAACAGAGGCTCTACTTATATCACATTTTCTCGGATTGTGGTATGATTCTTCTCCAAGAAATTCAAGAACCATTTTCCTGATGTGCTGATGTCCCATTAACGGAATCTGTAATAAGCTGGTCTGGTTCAGTCTAGTGTTTTAGTTTCTGTTTTCTGCCAAACAAAAAAAAACATGCCAAGAATTATGCATTAAATATGTGCTTTTAAATATAAATTTACTTTTTGAAATAAAATATATATTATTGCAAATAAACATTTTTGAATAATATTGCACCACATATATGTTACCATAATGGCTAAACTTATTGTGTCGGGTTTCAGAACCTGCAAGGTCATAGTTCGCGGATACTGACAAGCATTTTGCTAACGAAACCGCCGAACACCCCAGCTTGGAAACCCAGAGGTCAGTTAAATTACTTGTCGAAGATTTGATTTTAATTTAACGAGTTTTCAGTTGAATTCACAGAACATCCGACTAATATCCATTGTACTGTTCTATTTGTTTCTTTGTTTTTTTCACCGGAAATTTAAATCGAAGTATTATTTTAGTAACTAAATGTCATTGCCCGTGGTGTATACTATGGAGTGGCGCTGCGCAAGTCTCGTCTGGTACAAACCGGTAGTGTACCAGTAGCGAGATTGACAATGAATATCATGCATGACGGCTTTCCAATTGTGCTATGGTATCTACTAAGCTACATATTGTAGTCTCAAATATAAGTAGACACGGTACGTGTTGGTGTTTCCATGGCAATGGGAATTGTACACATAAGAAAGACAATTAAAGGCACTGGTTGCCTAGGTTTTATGAAAGGAACGCTGCACAGTGTCGTAAAATTTTAACATTCATTGCCATGGTCGGCGAAATAAGCGAAAATAAATCTCAGCAAATAATTAACTTATACAGTGAGATGCGGTCGGGCGGATATACAAAACAGTGTCTCGTTTAGAGGGACGCGTCCATAAAATCGACGTTATGTGAAATGTACATACTGAAGTTATCCAAGATTTTCAAGTGGAATTGTTTATTTATTCTGTCGTTGAGGGTGTGGCTCTTTTCACTGTGGCATTCGTATGTTTCATATTACAGCAAGTCTCAGAAGTATTGGGGCAGCCAATTTGCAAACTCGCTGGCGAATTGGCTAACTGCTTGGGTTTTGACTAAACAGTTGGCTTGAATCTCGCTGGCGCCGTCCTGTGGTCACGCCCACTCTGGGTGAATCTATATAACAGTAGGGGACAGTCGTCATACTTTAGTTGGATGGCGATTTCGCTTCCAAATATACCAGGGAAAATGTTCTATTTTCGTCGTGGTGTTCGTATACAAGGGATGGTCCACGCAAAAACGATGAATGAAGTCAAATTTTATTAGCGGTTGGTTTAATGTTACCCCAACGAATCATTTGGATGTGAACATTCATTTTCTCCATGATTTATAGGAAACTTTCTCAACTTGTTTCTTTATTTAGTTCCAATCAGTGTTCAAGATGACTACTCCCATATAGTAAATATCGGTGCATTTATCATATTATCACTTGCACGCCAGCTGACTGTGGCCATCTCAGGATGA